ATGATATATCAGTTAATGCTACTTCCCATTCTTCATCAAATCTAAATTCTCTGTGCATATCAATAGAAAAATTAGATAAATATTTTTCATCATGTATTTCTTTTGTATTAGTACAAGATAAATAAAAAGAATTAGCCATTTTTATAATTAAATTATTTTTTATTTTATAAATTTGCACCTGCTAATATAAACTTTATAGATTTAAGATATAACCTATAATTAATTTTATTATAATTTTTTAATTTCAGAATGATTTATCCATGAATTATAATTTTCAGGGTAATTTAGCCATTTAATTAAACATTCTTTAACGCCATCTCGTGTTCGTGTTCTAATTACTTTTTCAATTCGATATAAATTTTCTTTCACTTTCTGTACTTCTTCAGGATATAATCGTTGTTTATCTTGTTTTTCGTGGTTATCCGATATATTATATAATGGTTTAATTGGCTGATCACCAATCCCTGTAACTTTATATATATGATCTGTCCAATTTGGATAATAACTCTTATCAAAAGGCTTTTTAGCATATTTTCTACGAACAGTGTCATCAATATTCAGTTTTGGGTGTGTCTTTGTTTTATAAAAATCATCCCAATTTTTTGCTTGATATAAATTTTTAAATAGTATTTCACAATCAGTAGTCGTGGCTTGAACGGGGGTCATTTTAATTGACCTGTGTCGTGAATTATTATAGGCATGTAATAGGTCATCCAATATATTATACCAAATCCTATTACCTTTAGCAGTAAAATATTTAAACATTCTACTTTTTAGAGTCCGATTAAATCGCTCTACAATTGCACATTTTATATCTTTATTTCTGCTTGAAAAATGATAGATAACTTTATCTTTTAGGAATGTCTTAAAATTGTTATTTAGAAACTCTTTTCCTTGGTCAGTTCTTAGATAATATGGTTTTCTGTCATCAATTACCTTTGCAAAGACCCTAACCATTTCCTTTCCAGTTTTGTTTTTCATAGGCTGAGCCCATGCGTACTTGGACATAACATCGATTACAGTTAATATATAATTGTATCCTTTATTCACTTTTTTATATTCCTGCATGTCCACCAAGTCAGCCTCCCACTGTTGGTCAACACATTCAACTACAATTTTATTTCGTTTAAATATATTTCGGACAGGTTTATGTAATGTATATGTAAATTGACCAGATAGCCACTCCTTGACTTGATTTAGTGTAATACCAGGCAAATTTTCTTTAGCTGCATTATATAATTTAATAGCTGTTGAATAACTATTTGGATTCGATTGGTCATAATATATGCCTGTTAAAACGTTTTCAAGATCCATGGTTTTCAGTTTTTTGTCTTTAAGTTATTTATTATATTAGTAACTATTATTACTTCTATATCAAAAGAATTGACCAATACATCCAGCAACCTGACAACAACATAAACAGCACATACAAGTCAAATCAAAACAATCCGGACCATTACACCTACAATCGTCGGTTGTACACGATAAAGATCTTTTTAATTTTATCCATTTTCTTGATAAATAATATTTTATTTTTCTAAAGGCCATTATTCAAGAGTAATCCACTTTAATTTCTTTTTTATAGGTGAAATTGTCGTATATAATTTGCTAATATCATTTAATTTATTTTTAATATACTCATTTTTAATCAATTTTGCGTCTATACCAGCTTTATCTAATAAATCTATAAAAGTATCAATATAATCTAGATCGATATTGTTTGAATTTATAGCTAATATATACGGTTCAATTTTAATATCTTTATCAAATTTATTATTAATTTTCATATTTAAATTAAAGTCATAAGCATCATTTTTGGCTAGTTTTAATATTATATTAATTAAATTGCTATCATTTTTATAATCTATTGGGACAACTATCATTTTATTAAAATTCATTATTTAATTAATGACGTAAGTAATGACGCAATAGTTGGAATTAAAATTGGTAAAAACCCACCACTTTGTATAACTAACTTTTTACGCATTGCACTATTATTATTTTGTTGTGTCAATCTTTGAATTAATTTAATATATTTTTTAATCTTATTCTGTTGCGTATTACTTAATTTAACATTTCCTTTATTAAAGTTTGTAGCAATTTCACTAATAGCTTTGTAAAGACTTTCACTATATAAATCAATTAACAATTTTTTTCTTTTACTAGGACTTTTTGAAGCTATAAGTTTTAAAAGTTCAATGTATTTGTTTATGTTAGACATTTTTATAACTATTGATGTTTATATTTCTATTATCGACAATAGGCATGTAAATAATTGGTGAAAAGATTCCGCCATTTTGTTCTGGTGTAAGTCTAGACATTAATCTATAATCATCTGGAGTATCGGGAGTTGAATCATATCTTATGTATCCGTACGCGTGCGCAGTTGCATCATTAAATGCGTCAACAAAAAACCTTAATAATGATGGATAGATTTGACGGCCAAACGAATTTGCTTGTGTTTTATCACGTGGGTTCTTAAGTAAAATAATATAATGTGAGTTTAAACTAATTGTTCTCATACTCTGTGCTTTATAAAACAAATTTTGAGTTAAAAAGAATACACTTATGTTTAAATGATGGCTTTTTTTAATAAAAATATTTTCAAATTTTGGATCTTTTGACATTTCTTGTAAAAGGTCATCAATAATAACTATATCTGGCTTTTCAGTATTGATTAAATCCTCCCCTGGAATCCCTTCATTGTAGATTATATTCAAAGATTTATCGATGGGAATATCGATTAAACTATTCCATTGGCCATAAGTCCATAACACTGTAATGTTATCTTTGTTTAAATTATAAAATAAAATTTTATAATGTTTCAGTATTCGCCTAATAAGTTGTGTTTTTCCACTTCCAGACATACCAACTACTAAAGTATTTGCTGGGTGTTTAAATAAACAATGTTTAATGTCAATTTCCATATTAATTAACATATGGCATATATTGTTTAGTAATACAATAAAATAATTAATTAGTTTATAAATAAAATGTGTTAAGGTAATTATTTTAAATCATATGATTTGGGTATTGCGTAACATATAAATTCGTCCAATAATAATATACATTACGCTATTATTAACCAATGAAATATTAGTTATGTCATATATGTGTTAAGCACATGATTATAAATATTATATAAAAGAATACAATCATAAATGAATTATCAGTTAAAATGGATTATACTGATTTAATAACAGTTGATATATTATTTGAAGAAAATTATAGTAGTTTTGATGCAAGACTTGCATCGTATCCGTTATTGTGGGATGATACATATCCTGTGTCTGCCGAGAGTTTAGCTGCTGCTGGTTTTTATAGCCTTAATATAAATGATCAAGTAAGATGTTTCAGCTGCAATGGTGGGTTACAAGATTTTGTGTTCGGTGACTCTCCGAATATACTTCACGTATTACATTTTCCGATATGCCAATTCGGACGTGAAATCAGTGGAGATACAGTTGAGCGTTTTAGTGAGGGATATGATGTACCACAACGACCACCACCACTACTTATAACCAATCGTGAAGATATAATCAACGATTGGATCATATCGGATATATCATTGCAAGCTCTTCGATGCGGGATTGTAAGATATGATGAATTGCGCGACATTATGTCTATTAGATTTGACACAAGGCACGAGCCATTTGAACAATTTTCCGATATATATGAAACGATTCAAAGCTATAGAAGTGGAGAAGTTCGCCTGAATCTGAACTTGGAGGCAATTGAAAATTATACTCCAACATTAGCAACAACTGATAATTTAAAGTGTAAAATATGTTTAGAATACGAAATAGCTGTGGCGTTAATTCCTTGTGGTCACATGGCGTGTTCGCAATGTGTTCTACCATTAACTACTTGTCACATTTGTCGCAATATAATTAGATGTAAACAGCGTTTATATTTTTCATAAAATATTATAATTAAATTGTAATTAATTAAATATAAAATACAACATTATATTAAAATACTTGTATTGTTTATTTGTACAATAAATGATTTGTTTCAAAAATTGTTGTTTATTTAGTTAAAACTTGTATAATAGCTAAGTTTAATGTATAAATATTATTTACAATGGGGAATTGTATTAAACCAGATTATATACCAAGATATTATACTATTGAAGGACGGTTAATGACTTTTGATAATAAATGGAATGAAAGATACTATATAACATCGGAAGCATTGGCTTTAGCTGGCTTTTATTATGTGGGTTACCGTGATTGTGTAAAATGTTTTACATGTTTAGGTATTTTACAATATTCTCGCCACAACACTAATGTTAATGTTTGGGCTGATCATGCCTTATGGTTTCCTTGGTGCCAATATGTCAAAGATATAAAGGGAGATGATTATATTAATCAAGTTATAAGACGAAACATATATGGCATACAACGACCAATATTAACTAATCGAGATGAGATAATAAACGAATGGATGTTATCTAGCATAGCTTGGGGAGCTTTAAAACGACGAGTTACTACATATCAAGAATTGTTCAATATAATGACTGTACGCTATGATCAACACGGAGAACCGTTTAAAGATTTTTTAGAATTAGTTAAATTAATACCTGATTATCGAAATCAGATTATATTGTCAAGTGATACGTCACACTTAACTAATCCACCAATTGCAAAGAATGAAGAATTAACTTGTAAAATATGTTTAGTTAATGAGATTGGAATAGTTATTTTACCATGTGGTCACATGATTTGTACTTTATGTTCTCAACAATTAACAATTTGCGCGATATGTCGAAATATAATTAGATTTAAAAACCGAATATACTTTAGTTAATTAAAAATTAATATACAAGAATAATTAATTTAACTTTTTTTTAAATTGAAATAACAAAATGTTTAATATAAGTTAGAATTATTAAGTTAAAAATTGTATTAATAAAATAATATTACAATATGTTTAAGTTTTAATTATTAAATAAAACAAAATATTTATCAAATATAAGTTTATTTATTGATATATTATCATTACAAATCAATTGGTTTGGCAAACATCTCAAGACGTCGTTGTCTAACAAACTCAGGATCAGCACTATGTCCGAGTTGGATTAGTGGACATATCGGTCGAGTCAACATTCTGGCCATATTGTCCAAATGCGGGTCACGTCTTAAGCTTACACGTGGTGTGCTATACATACATCTTAACCTTAAATCAATATCTCCTAAAGGTGCAAATTGGTTTGGCGTACGTTGTGTTAGGGCATGTTCTGCAGCCCTTCTTGCCCGCTATGAGTATAGTATTTATTAATAAATTGTAATAAAAGTAATTATATTATTACATTGAGGTTTTTGATTCGTTGTCTACGATCTATACGTTGTTGAATTTTCTTACGCGCATTTCTCAAAGTAACTATACGTCGAGAATACAATTCAACTATTTGTCTAAGCCGACGAGTTGACATTGCATCAGCGTGCGCCTCAGAAATGTTATCGGGAATGGCTGGTTGAACAGCGACAGATGGCTCTGTGTTGGCAGAAACCATTGACTCCATTTCAGCATAATATCTATCAGCTAGCTCCGACTGTCTCGCCGCTGATAACTCCAAAAATGGCAGTCCACATGGCTGTTTACACGTGACACAAGGCACCTCCCGATGGCAAACACCAAACATCTCTAAACCCGCAATACCGCCTAAGTTCTGATAGGAATAGGCTAACTGCCACGACATCAAGCACGACTCATGAATTGAATGGCCACAAGTCCTGAACTTAGTAGTGCAGACATCTTCACCAGCACAGCACATGCAATTTGGATCGTAATTTCTGTATAAATAAACAAAAAGATAAAAGTTTAAAGTATTAAATCAATTTATTAAATCAATTATAATTTATTAAATCAATTACAAATGCTGGCAAAATATAGGGCCAACTGTAAATGTCAACACACATGGGAAAATCAATCTCTACAAACTGCCATGTATAATGGATAAAGTCGTTTTCTACATAAAAATAATCATCGCCATAAAAGATATTAGCGAGCTGACAGCAGCGTTCAAGCGAATCAAACATCAACGGGTGGATTGTCGGAATGTTACAGTATGGGCAGGGTACGTTATATGCGTTAATACCCTCAATTAAACAACGATACCCGCCGAACATCTTATCGCTATATGAACGAACCACTGTGACCATACATTCCAAGCATATAATGTGGTCACATGGATCAAGCGAAAACTCAGTGGCTGCCCCACACGTATGACAACGTTCGCTATAATACGTGTGAAAAATTAGATGACGTAACAGGGGCATATGGCGCTATAAGGGCTTACTACCTACGTGATTTTAATAATTTTTTGATACAAAAAACTAGACATATGGGTGTTTATATGGTCGGGCAGGGTTGGGGCAGCATAACAATACATATTACCTTGGTACTACTAATTCGTCAGTTTGCGCAACATCAATCAATACAGCTTGTATTTGCTCAAGACGTTGCGTAAACTGATTGGCCAGCATAACATCATCGGCTAATTGAGACATTTCAGGTTAGTATATAAAATATATTAATATATATTTTTTAAATAACTTGAAAAGTTTTATAATTTTATATTTAATTTGCACTTCTATTTATACGTGCATGCTTAATTATATTTTTTATTTGGGCTAGACACATTAGACACATAGACAAATTAGCCTAGATACATTATAGACAGGAAATATTTTAGAAATATTTAATTTAAACAAGGATCACACATTTATTTATTGTAATTAAAAAATGACATTTAAATATAAATAATATTTTAATTAACTTGTACATATGTTTAATTTTATTTTATACATTTAATTTATTATACAAAGTCATTGCTCTTTTTATTTCAAACATATTTTGCATTCAATTAAATTTTGCAACATGTTTAAATATTTAATTATGATTAATATTAATTTCCAACTAAAACACATTATTAATGTAACAAACATTACGTATGGATTATTAATGGGATGTCTATTGAAAGCATTGCATGGTTTGTATAGCGAGAGACCAATACTATAGGGATGAGTACCGGCGCACAGAATCAGGTAAGTTGTTAAATTGTATTTTATTAATTTATTGATAAAGTTGCTTGGTCACTGACCAATGGTCATTTGGTTGCACAGGCCCTATTTATCTACTAATAATATAATTAGTTTTATTTTGCAAGTTTTTAAAGTTTTTATTTATTATCGCAATAACCTTGATAAAAGTTAAATAAAATTGTTATTAAATTCGCAACATACTAACTCGTAAGCATAAGTTTTAAAATAATAAATTAAAGCCTTCAATTATTCTATTTAATTTGTATAATTAACTAACAACGTTAAATCAATTTTTAATTAATTAAATATCAGGATTAACTGACCTGAGTAAATAATTTGATCACAGTTGACGCAAATAGTCATGGCCGTAATGGGTTTATTGAGCACTTTGCCCAACAACTGAGCCGTATTGGCCGCAAATTTAGCAGGTATTTGGCTTCGGGCGAGTGTTGTGTACACTTGGAGTATTGGCATAACTATGATTAAATTCAGACTAGGTCAGATATTCAAAAAATATTAAATTATTATATCAAAACAAAACTGTAAACTGAAAGTTTATACTTGTAAATTATGTCCTATTAGATAAATTTGTAGATCATTTTTATAGTTTTTAGTATATGAATGACATAAATATTTGTGATAGACTGTACGCATGCAGTTATATTAGTATTTATAAATAATTAAACATGCGCCTTCTTAAGTTTGTTAATTACACTACTGTGTGATTACAATGGAAATTAGGTTTTAATATGCAAATTGTATTTTATTTTATTTTAAAAAGTATTACAAACTTTAAATATATTTAACCGATGAAATAACTAGAGAGAGAGAGAGAGAGAGAGAGAGAGAACTTTATTGTTCAATATTTTGGAAATTATTTTTGCAAGTCAATTATTATGTATAAATAGATTATTTAAATAACATTTATATTTAAAAATAAAAATTATTATGATTAAGATGTCAAAAGTATAGCCGTCGTTTAGTTTAGATTGTTATTTGTTGGTCATATGTACTAAATGAAACATTCGACCTTGTTTTTTAAATTATTTTATTTATTATAATTGGCAATACATTTATAAAATAAATTAGTTTGTAAATTACTTACTAACTTACTTGTATCTAATGTTATAAGAAAAAGCTTTACATTGTACATAAAAATTTATGTATATCATTTGTAAAATTATTTAGTAGATGAATCAAGTAATTATTTAAAAATGAGCATAATATTTAAACTTGGTAAAGAATTACCTAAAGAATTGCGTGCAAATGGTGCTGATGGCCATTTATACCGAATTGGATTATCTCTATACAAACCAAAATTATGCATGCTGAAAAGGCATCATTTATTTCACCCAATTGTTGTTTTAATTATTCAAATAATAATGTTAATAAAATGTTCATTTATGTTATACTTATATATAAATGGCATACAATTGGATGATAATTATTATCTATATTCTGGTGACACTGATTATTTTGCAAAATCCGAATATGCTGCAAATTCAATAATGATATTTATAATAATCTATGTCTTATTAATGCAATTAATAAATTACGTAAATCATAGAAATGGTGTAAAACCCGTGGATTTGCGTGTATTTCAAATGATCGCCGGCTTTATTGCACCCAAAAGTATCGGCATTAATAATAAAAAATTTGTTTACAAAATATGTAGACTATTTAAAAATTTAATTGCCCTTCATCAGATAATGGCAGTACTTGTTACAGTGATTGCATTAATTTATCCATTTTATTTCTTTATTATGTTTGATTCTAGCCATGTACATTTAATTTTAATTGGTATAGCTCACTCTATATTGTTTGCATTTTGGGTTTATATTGCGTTCAGTATAATGTCGTATCAAACCGTGTATTACATTGTAATTGCATTTTATCTCAAATCCAAGATTAAGGCATTGAATACTGAAATCCGTAATAAATTACTTAAAGGCAAACGATTTATTAGTTTCATAAGAATTGAGAATAAGTTTAATAATATTTACGCTGAAATCTCTGAGTATAATGAAATATATTGGTCAAAATATTTGCTCGTTGTTTGGCTAACATTGAGCTTAATTATAAGTTTATTGATGCACCTATCGCTGTTTTCAAAAAATTTATTAATACTAAAAATTAGCACCATGGTTGATACAATATTTTATGCAATTTGTCTACTATTTATTATTCATGTTTCCTCATTACTATATAATGAAGCAAATTATACGTATATTTTGCTTAATTCATATATTTCGCAACCATATAAAATTCCCATATACACAAAATTAAAGGTATTTAACATATTGTAGTTTATAATCCTCTATTTAGTCACTTTTCTTATAAAAATTATATTGTAAATTTTAATTAATTTATATCATTTAGATTATAAATCTAATGGAGAGAATTGGCTGTAAAAAAGTTGGCTTTTATTGGTGGAAACTATTTATTATAAACAGATTTAGAGGCTATGAAGTAAGTAATCACTTAATCAATAATCATTATAATATTTAATTCTAATAAACTTTAATTATTTGCAGATTATATCGTTTGGTATTATGTTTTTCATGCGATTAATTTAAAATTCATTTATTTCTCAATAAATAAAATTTGAAATACACTTAAATAAATAAAGCTATAACAATGGTTACAACTTCTGAACAGTATTAATTTTTATGTAATATTACATTTATTAAAACAATAAATTAAAATAATGCGACATAGAAACATTTTCATTACCTAATTATAATACAAATGTTTTGTTTAGTATAGAAAATAATACAGTATATAATTTACAATAAATATAAATGTAGGATGTTAATTAAATATATGCTGAGTCGCGATAAATAGACAACTATCTGGAATAGAGGCCACATATGAGGCATCGAGTATGCAATAATAAAATTAAAGCCGTCATAATAAATATCAATAAAGTATTCAGTCATATGACAGATACTCTGTAGTGTGAAAACTAATTTAAAATGTACCCGGTACTTGTGACAGCATTATCATCAGTGTGTTTATTAATCTCGGGCATAATTACTCTTGTAATCGGAATTGTGTTTTATGTGGCAAGGTGCTTTTACGACGTTCATGAAGTGTATGCCATGTCGGTTACATTAATAGTGTTTGGTACACTAATCATCACGATCAGTTTGGCCGGTTTTGTGCTAGCATTTTTGGCTGGTCGGCGCCGCCGGCGTCCAATTAATAACGACCATGGTGATGAGGCATGAACATTAGCTGCGCTGGCTTATTATTATTATATAAATTTATTTATATTGTGTTATTTTATTAAACATATGAATTTAATCTATAAACCAAACTTTTAAAAATAAAATATTGCATGTTTATTACGAATTGGCATAATATTTTTATTTGGGTAAAAGTAAGTGAGAGAAAGAGAGAGAGAGAGAGAGAGAGAGAGAGAGAGAAAGCAGAAAAGTACAAGTCACTTAAAAAGTTCATAGTAGAGAAACAAACTAAACAACTGCAAAATCATTGCTTACTGTAATATTTATTCTAACTGGAAGAAAACATCAAATATACAAAATATAATTATATATTGTATTAAACATTTACTATACAATCAACTTAATATGGGTAATTTCATTTTGGTAATACCGTTAGTAATGACCCTCACATCGGCCATGTGCATGCTAATAACCGGAGTGATTCTGTTGGCGTTTGGCATAATACTGTATACGAGCTTGGTGCTCTCATACTGGTGGTGTTGCTATCAGCCAATGGCCATCAGCGGTGTTGTATGCATGATATTTGGCTCATTATTAATTGTGATGTCTGTGTTTTGCCTGATTATAGGCCTAGTGTTTAGTAGCGGTTTAGATGAGGATAAAAATAACAATAATCGCAATAATAATAAGAAAGTTGTGACGGGAGTCGAGTCGTTGCCACCGCCCGACCGTCGCCGGGGTTTAGTGAGCGGACCAGGCACAAATTACGCCATGGCCTCTGTAGTGTAATTATTACATGTATGTTTGTATGCATTTTATATGCTCTAGATAAAATCTGTTATTTATATTTTGCTTAAATGTTTTACAAATTAAAATGTACTTAAATCTTAACAAATTATATAAAATTGTAAAACTTAGTTGTGTAAGTTAAGTTATTAATAAAATTCCAACATTATACTATTCATAAACAACATGAAAGAGTTTGATATTAGTTCTGTTACAGTTTTTACACATAATAAAAATTTACGAATAATAAATATTTAAATTACATGCTACAATTAATTTTAATAATGTTTACACAAAAATATATTAATTGTTGTACATTTAAATTTTATATGTTTACTGTAGTTCTAGACTAAGGAGGTTTAATTTGTATAAAATATGTGTTGAATATAATAATTGTATTATGGTAAATTAACACAAATTAACTATCATATACAGCCATTAAAATAATTTTTAAAAAATACATAATTAAAACTGTGATGAGCTGTTTGTAGAAATAATATATAATTAATAATTAATAAACTTTACAATATATTGATTAAATACTCACTTCATAACAGCGCCAATAATTAATGGTAAAGAATTTATAGCACGAAAACCCAAACTTATTCTCAGACATCCTTTCCATTAATGTTAATAACTATTGAAAACATATGAAAACCAACATTAAATAAATACTAGTTTACAATGTAAATTATTTTAAAAAGTATACATACTTTAAGTTGAATTTTGAACCATCTTGCATGGATAAATTTATTTGATTTGAAAAATGCATTGTAATATTTTCTAACAATTTTATGTGTAGTTTTTGCCTTATAATTAACGGCCGAAGCCGTGAATATAATGAACAGAAAGAGTGAGATAAACAAAACAGAGCTGTAAATCATAAGAATTTTTATCAGAGATATAAAATTATAAAACATTGGAATCATTATTAAAAAAATTATTATTGAACCAAAATCTATCCAAAATACAAACATATATTTAGACCAATAACTAGTGTTGTATTCATTGACTTCAGTGTATAAATCGGTGATATCTTTAATAATTTTCATTGAATTATTAATTTGCTGTTTACTAATCATATCAATGTATTTAGCATTTAATACATTGATTTTAATGATAATGTATTTACAAATAATATAAAAATATAACATTTCGTAAAAGAATATATTACAGACATAATGAATCCATAGTCCATAGATTATTGCATTTGGGATTCCGTAGATTATCGTATTAATTAGTGTTGTATTGACTAAATATGTATATGTATACAACATAATAGGGAAAGTTATTTTTTCAAACATGTTATTATAATATATAAAAGTTGCTAAATATTTTGATAGTTTAGCAAACTTTCTGATTTCTACTGGATTTGTGAGACCAATAGATTTAGGCGAACGTAAACCCGAAAGCATTTCAAATATTTTCATGTGTTTTAATTTGATATCATTTATAAAAACATAATAATTGATTGCTTGCGACGAAAGGACCCAAATGTCTAACACGATAAATACGAGAGGAAAATGAACGGGTAATCCATACCAATGTCTGTAATCTCCAAACATTATATGAATGTATTCGTTGTCAACACTAATCGTAACATTCAATACATTTATTATAAAAAATACAATGAATGTAATGCAAGCATACAATGGCTTATTAAACCATTTTCTATGTATTTGTAATTCATATGATTTATAACTTAAACCATTTCTATATAAAATATTATTAAAATCACTTACAACTAAATTATTTGGCAGAATTTGATTTATATTTATCAATGCCATTTTGGTGTTATTTATTGAGAATAGTACCTTAATATTTACTTCAATAATCAGATTCTGTGGCACTCATATATAACCGACAAATAAAAAATTTAATACAGGCAGAACTCTGTGCTGTGAATAGATCGGGTCCAGGACTTTTGGTTCATAACAAAGAGTTGTTCACAACATGGAGGTGGTTTTAACATTAAGTCTATGTGATGTATGTTTTGGTTTATGGTT